ACCAATACTTGTTGTGTAAATCAAGGTGATTAAAATATTGATTTTATTACAGGCATCGTTATTCTTTGTTTCTGATTTATGGTAACTATTTTTTGGATCCCAGATGCAAGGCTACATTTGGTATAAATCCCGAAATGTCACTACCTTTTCGTTTCTCCATTCCATTTCACAGTAGGTACACCACAAATCAAAGCGTAATAGGTACTCTAGTTGTATATAGTCACACAAATTTGTAGAATTAATCGTTCAAGAATAACGAGAATTACAATTGAACTTTGAAAATTAAGGCAATTATATCGAGCACAAGTTTAATCAAATCTTGCCCAAGTACTTTCGCTTAATATAGCATCTTCAGGGGCATTTCGTCAAATATGGGCTATCCAGCTAGCGTAGAATGTGATAAACATGGATGTTAACATTAAATTGTACAAACACTACACTAGAACAAGGACAAACAGTTTAAAATTAATTAAAATAGTTCTACGCTACATTCTTTGGCGGTAACAGGAGAGAGAATGGTGACCATTTTAATTCATTTTAAACTGTTTGTCCTTGTTCTAGTGTAGTGTTTATACAATTTAATATTAACATCCATGTTTATCACATTCTACGCTTGCTGGATAGCCCATATTTGACGAAATGCCCCTCCCTGAAGATGCTATATTAATCGAAAGTACTTGGGCAAGAGAGTTAGGTTATGATTCACAGCGAGACAACCGTAGCGACGGTAGCGTGTTTATCCGTGTACTTTAAAGTGTGTCAAAAAACCGACAAGTGGACGGATAGGCGTATTTGGTATTTGCGTATATGCTTATGCGTGTGAATAAAAGAAATAATTGACGAATGTACCCTCCAAACTTCGGTTTATTCGGCCGGATATGGCGCATAACGAATAAAAAATAGCGAAGTGTGATGCCGCCCTATAGAAAGTTCACCCGTACGTATCCTATCTATACTCATACTTATCCTATCTATACTATCGTATCAGTACTTGCCTACTATTTATTTTTTAATTTTTAATATTTGTTTCTTTTATGTTCAAAATGTTTCAGAGTTCTGGCGAGTAAATAGTTTGCACAATTAGGTATATCGCAATAACTATAATACATTACAAGTATATTGGCATTATTCATACTATGTTACTAATACACAATTATTTTATTGAATCATTTTCATGAAATCACTTAAAAAATTTATCAAGATCAAATATATACATTCTTTATTGCAAACTTACCAATTTCTCAAGAATTTTTGCCAATTATTAGTGCCAATTCTATATTTATTTTGAACATGCTATGTTCTAATTAATTTTAATAATTTTGCTCCTTACAGGATTTGTTTTGTAAGTAAATTGAGTATATACACAAAGTTGATGCTTCCTATATACAGTTAATTTCACTCTTTTGTTAATATTGTATCATAGGCCAGGGAAATAAGCAAAAAAAAGCACCCTTTTTATTTGTTACACTAAACCGTAGAGACAAACGACAATGTTTTGAGTAGTATGTCCTCTGTAACAAAAACCTGTATGTTTCATCAAAACCTGTATGTTCAAAACCCTCTGTAACAAATTAAGGTCGGTAAATTTTCCCATGTTCATCTATCAGCATAAAGTGAAGCATATTTGAAGAAATCAGATGCAATGTATAGAAATGACTAAAAATCAAAGGATAGTAAAAAAAAGTGCCATGAACCATTAACAACGAAGGAACGCACTTCTCAAAATCAACACATGTCAGATGGACAAATCATAGAAATAGTAAACAACAACTACGAAAAGATAAGAAATAGAATCGAATCCATCAAAGGAAAAATCATTCAAGACGATCAATTCAGTTTCAGAAAAGGAAGAAATTGTAAACTACAACTAGCAAGACTGGCCAGTGACGCAAAAATTGACTTCAACAAAAGGAAAGAACAGTAATCGTCATACTGGACATAAAAAAGCCTACGTAGGCCAGGATATGATGGTAAAAATAGTAGAACACTTTTGAATTTTTTTATAAGCATCGATTTGTTTGAAATTTTGAGAGTAGTTAAAAAATAGATCACAATCTACCCCATAGCAACCAGTGAAGACCAACTGGAAAAAGCTTTTAAGAACAGAAATGGCATGCTTCAGGTTAACAGATGGATAATCATGACAAGGCAAAGTTTCAAACGCAAGCATCCAAGAAAGGCTCCAGTACACTCAACTGAGGGAGGTGGCAGTGAACAGGACAAGAAAATTCTTCCTTCTTCAAGTTCCACTCATATCTGAGATTGGAAATCATTCTGGCAATTATAATTTTGTTGATTACGCGCCTGAATAGTTCAATTGAACTGCATCCAAACCATTCACGGAGATTGCGTAGCCACGAGGTTTTACGTCTTTCTACGCTTCTTCTACCTTTGATTTTACCCTGCATTATATTCCTTAGTCGTTCGTATTTTTCACCTCTTATGATGTGCTCCAAGTATTCTAATTTCCTGATTTTTATGGAATTTAAAACTTCGCATTGTTTTCCAAGTTATTCGAGAACTTGTTCGTTTGTTTTGCTATCCATCCATGATATTTTCAAAATACGTCGGTAACACCACATTTCGACTGCTTCTAGGTTTTTAATGTTGGATTTTTTAAGTGTCCAAGCTTCAACCCCATACAAAAGGGTAGATAAAATATATCATCAAAGCATTCTTATCCGGAGCGATATATTGATATCGCGATTACAAAAATGTTTTCTCATTCTATTAAAAGTTGACCGTGCAATTTCAATGCGGCATCTTATTTCTTTCCATGCTCCAAGGTATTTGTATGAAGACAGTTATTGTTCAATTCCTGTATTATCTAATACTAGCTCAAATTTGATGTTTTGTGCTTTTGTAAATACCATAAACTTGGATTTCTTCAAATTTATTTTTAGTCCATAATCGTTGCAATATATATTTAGTTGTTCAGCAAGGTGTTGCAGTTCTTCTAGTGTTTCTGCCAGAAGGACGGTGTCGTCAGCATATCTTATGTTATTAAGTGGCTCACCGTTTATTATAAGGCCCTCACTGATCTCGGCAAGCGCTAATTCTGAGATGGCTTTACTGTATAAATTGAATAACAAGGGTGATAAAAGACACCCTTGGCGGACCCCACGGCGAATCTGGATATCCTCGGTCAGTTCATTTTCAACTTTCACTTTTGCTGTATGGTTCCAATAGAGGTTACATATGATTCTAATGTCTCTACTGTCTATGTTTTTATTTAATAAAATTTATTTAAGCCCATTATGCTGCACTCTGTCAAATGCCTTCTCAAAATCAATGAAACAGGCATATACTTTCTGATTAATATCTAAGCATCTTTGCAAAAGAACACTTACTGCAAACAGTGCATCTCGTGTTCCTAGTCCTTTCCAAAATCCCATTTGTGTATTACTTATGCCTTCATCTAATTTCTTATGTATTCTATTGTGAATTACTTTTAAAAACAATTTCAAGACATGGCTCATTAAAGCTATGGTGCGATGTTCATTGCACTCCTTTGCATTGGCTTTTTTGGGAAGCAGTATGAATGTTGATTGGAACCATTCTTTAGGTATTATACCTGTTCTATATATGGTATTGAATAGATCCAAAAAAAGATCAATAGATTCAGTATTCACAATTTTAAGTAATTTGATAGGAACTTCATCAGGCCCGGGAGATTTACCACCTTTAGCTTGTTTCATTGCATATTAAATTTCTTCTCGTATAATGTCAGGCCCAGTATTATCCTTAAATTCTTTTAGTGCTTCTGTTCTCTCTTTGTCTTCAAAAAATTTTGGTTTATATCTGTTATAAGTGCACCACTTTCATCTCTTAGTTGCCTAGTTTGAAGTGTTTTCTCATTCCTGTTAATTCTCTAATTCTTTTATGCATGTTAAAAAAATCATATTTTTTCTCAATTTCTCCTAGTTTTTGGCACTGCTCATGTAACATTTTCTTTTTAGCTTCTTTTATTCTCTTTTTAATTAATCGATCAGTTTCATTATATTTAATTGGATTTTTTTTGAATGATTTTCTTTCATTTATTAATAGTAGTATTTCTTCAGTCATCCAGTTTATATGTTTTCTATTCTTTGGTTTTAAGTTTTTATTTGATGTTTTAATTATTGCTACTTTTATATTTTTATATTCTTTCACCAGGCCACAAAAAGACAACTTACGCCCAGGAATATCCTAGTCAGAAACAGAGTCCAGAGGATACATCATGAAACCCATAAACTGATTGATCATCTAATCAGGAGGTAGTTGCTGAAGGCAGCCAAGCAGTAAAGTAGGTACGGTACCAAAAATAGCACCTACAGAAACAGGCACACAGTAGTCTAACATTATAGATAATCAGTAAATACTGTTCGATATGTACCTACATATTAGAGCCAATCATATTTTTATATTTATTTTATATGTGAAAGATATGTGTAGCGCCAGCCAAAAGACAACAGAAATATTACATCGGATATATAATTAAGCAGACGGACAGACTTCTTAAAAATTGAGAAATTAAAAGTTATAATATGAAGAGTCTACTCTTAATGTACTGTTTCCAATGCTATGTCTATTGAAGTCATATTATATGTAAGAGATTAGAATTTTCGACAGGATATACAGTACACAAAAACTGGTTGAGTCAAAGAAAGCTATCATGGTAAATAATCTACATCAATGCAACTGAGTAGTCACCAGACCACTATCCCGATCAGCAGTAGATAAAGTAAAGATTATGCCGACGTTCTAGGATATGACCTGAAGAAATTTACACTATAGCATGAGCCAAAAAAGTTTAACAACTTATATTTTTTACTTTAAATGGTAACAATTTTATTTTCTTTTAAAAGCATTGACCCAATTATGCACAGAAATATACTCGTACATAATAAATGTAAATACATATTTTGCTTATCTGTATATTTCAAGTAAAAAAGAAGCATCAACTCAAGCCGAGTTATCTATAATCCATCCAATCATTAAAAAAAGTGGGTATGGTAGTTTCATGCACAACATAAAGCATTCAAATGGTTTGATAGCGAATTGATGGGAGAAGACAGCGAAGGCTCATTTCGTAAAAAAGTAAGCAAAAAGCTATTACCTGGCTGATGTCCGAACGCCACTGACCCATCCCGTAAATTCAACGAAATACAACCAGAGTCTTTCTTAATACCTCTTATCAGATCGTTAAAGTATCCTTCCTCAGCAGACATATATTCTGAATCTGTGAGATCGATGTAGCCACCACCTTTAAGATACATGCATCCTTCAGACGCCATCCTTTTTTTAGATTCATCTAAAACTTTTGTGGAACTTTCTTGCTTTAAGTCTAAATGAATTTGATTAGGCGTACAAGTTTCTGCTCTAGAATAATTTAATAAATCTTCGTCTGCTGATGTAACTACATCTTCTGTATCTGTTGGTACAGGGCTCATTGCCACGTGTGAGACAACTTTAACTGGCTTATTTATTTGTAGACGGTCTTCAATTGAAAATGGACCAGAACCTTCCATAGACATTATTACTTCACCTCCCAATTCTCTTAGTTGTTGGGGAGTACATGACATTGCTCTAAAGTTAGGTTCTTCATCGGAACTGTCAGCTAAAACTTCGATATCTGTAAGACCTTCTGCGCCTGGTAAATTTAATAAAGGAGATAAACTCTGAAAATTTCCAGAATTGTAGTCACTTAAAAACAAGTCTTCTGTATCAGTCAAAGCCTTTGGCTCCGGTGTTTTTACAGAAAGTTTATTTTTCTCAGCTAAGAATCGTTCATGTAGGTGTTTAAATTTTGGTGCTCTGCGCCTCTTTTGCGTATTCAGAACTATTTCTTCCGTATCCGTTAGTTCGTCCATATCATCATTAGAAGGAACATTAAGCGTTTTTTTCCCTTTTTTCTTTTGTGGGTTCTCAGTTTCTTTTATAACACCACAGTCTAGTACAGTAAAATCTGATACAGACAGCGACATTGGCATTTCCATAGCTTCTTCTGCTTCAGAAACACTTTCTTCGTCTGTTTCTCCATTTAGAGACTGTTCTTGAGGCGATTGTACTGGGGTGTAGTCTACTAAGGGTAGAATCTGAACTGTAGGTAGCGTCCCATTTTCTTTCAGAATAACCAAATTTCTAATAGGAGGAGGTAGAACTATTTCGGGTATATTGTTTAGTTCATCCAAATCGTCCTCAAACTCCTCTTCATCAGTATGTATCTGCAGTTCTTTAGCCAGAGCAATAGGTATAATTTTGGATGTTTCTTCATCGGAACTATTTACATTTTCACAGTCAGTAAGGGGTTCTTCATTTATAATCGGTATCAATAGACTAGTTTTCTTGTTCTTTGTCACCGTAGCTGGTGCACCTATAAATCTAATATCATAACTAACTTTTTCTTCATTGTCCTCCTTTTCTGACTCGCCGTGTTCAGATTGATACACATCACTATCAGTATTATTATCTCCGTCATTATCATTACTCTTTAAAGACGAAGCCCTAAGGATACTTTTACATTTAAGAGCGCTATGCGATTCATTGATTTTGCTATAACACTCGGCCATTTCTTCTAATTTTTTTTCAAAAGCTTCTTCGTGAGCTTCAAAATTCGGTGTAGCTGGTGTGTCTATTAAATCTTCAAAATCTTCTACGTCTGTTGGAAAGTTAGTATCAAACTCTGGAATATTTAAAATACTCGGTTTCTTTTCTGCTATTTTTTTACATATTGGAAAAGGTAAATGGGCATTATCTTCATTATCAGAGTCATACATTAAAGAATGACTTTTTGTGATAACTTTGAATGACTTGACTTTTCTTCTAGGATGTGAAATGTAATTTTTAAATCTGTCGTCAGTGTCTGAGACATCTAAGTCTTCTATGTCAGTTACAGAGTGTCTTCTAGATCCTTTATATCTTCTTCTTCGTGGTTTTGTTTTCTTAAACGATTTTTCATCGTCTGAGTCAGAATGCAATACTTCTATATCAGTTAAGTCTGACAAGTTGGGTGTAATTAACGATGGATTCAAAAATTGACCACTGTGAAAAGATTGTTCAGAGTCATTGGTATCGGAAGGATTATTATTTGGAGATACTGACAGAAGTTTTGTTTCATTTCTATTTGTATTATCTGCTACATTCATATTCTCTAAATTGTATGTATCTAAATCTATGCTGGTATCTGGAACACTGTCTATTGCCACTTCATTTTCTGTATCAAATATCTCTTCGTCTGTATAATTGTCATAAATTTTATATTCTACTTCAGTATCGTCCATTTTCCTTTGCGTAGTGGAACACTGAGTTTTTAATTTTTTAATGCCCTTAGAAGTTTTTACATGTGTTTTATAAGATTCCTCAAAGACACCTCCTTCCAAGTCAAGATCTTCGATAGTTATTGGTTTAGAATGCATGATTAAATTCTTGCTTTTATCGTCTTCTTCATCTGAAGCCTCAAAATCTTCTAGATCAGTTAAAGCCTCATCTTGTACCAACTTAATTTTTAGTTTTGATTTTCTAATCTGTTTCGGTTTAGAAACAAATAAATCGTCACCTTCTTCATATAAATCTTCTACGTCTGTCAATGCTTCTTGCAAATTGAGGTAGTTATTTTCGTTATCGTTTTCAATATCGTTTTCGTCGTCATGGGTAACTGCTATTTCTGGTATTGTAGTAGACATCTTGGTTGTTTATAAAATCCTACATTAAAATTTAATAGATCAGATATTGTTTTTTTGTCACTATGTATCCCCACGAATGTTTAATAACATAAAAAGTTAAACAAATACTTTTCCAAAAGTGTGGTGTTCGTTTTTGATTAGTGCGATTCTGAACAAAATCAAATTAAAATAGTTTACAGTAACTAAATTGTGTAGTTTAGGCATTATGTTTAGTAAATTATACTGGAACCGACACTGTACAAAAAAAGTAGAAGGAAGATAATAACATTCAAGTGAGAACTGATATTATTTACTAATACCGTACGAAACAATAGGTTAATGCAAGTGAATAATAAAAGTAAAATAGAATGGCATGCCTCCAAAAACAGGAAAACAAAAGATAAAATAAGTATATCGATAAAAGACAATCGTATATACGTATTTCTGATATTATTGTCGTCTTCGGATCACTACAAGAATTGCTCCTAGTGGACTAAAGTGGCTACCTATCTACTTACGGGGCCTAGGTTGGGAGGTTAAAGTAAAAAAGCAACTATAGCAGTAGTGGGACAAATTCTTAAAAGTCAAAATAAAAGATTAATTAGTCAAATAGTTTTATGTTCCTTAAATCTTCCGTAAAGAAAAAGAGCACTGATGATAATCAATTTAGCAAATAATGCGGAGGAAAGAAACATGATGTGACAAAGTATTGTAGCAATTGTTAAAAGTAATATTTTCTATAATTTGTTTTGAATCAAAATCACACTGATCTCACTTTAGGTTCTTATTTTTGATCACTACTTACCTGATTTATAGAGGAAATAGTTATTTAAAATTAAGTAGTTATTATATTTGCTAATTTCAATAAGTGAAAATAGTCAAGTAAAATTAGTTGGACCATTTTACTTCAATATATGAAGTTTTTAAAATGATCTACCTAATACTTATTAAATTGTGTGTTGTATTTAAAAGTCTTGGATATATGTCAAGAGTTAATATCGAAGTGATAAAAGTAAAGTAAAAATAAGTTTATTAGTAGAAACAGTTTATTGCAGTCTCCCAAAAAAATAAGCTATATTAAAAAAGATAATCTTCTGATTGCTATAAAGGGCCTTAAAAATAACAAAAGACCAGGCAACGATAACGTATACGGGGAAGTATTGAAAATGCTGTGCGAAATAAACTGTCACTTTCTAGACTCACTCGTCAGACTCTTTAACAATATTTATAGCAGCGGGGAGTTTCCTGAAGACTGGCTAGAGTCAACTTTTGTTGCCATACCGAAAAAACCAAAAGCAAAGTCTTGTGATCAAAATCGGATGATAAGTCTAATTAACCACATTTCGAAGGCATACACCAAGGTTATTTACAACAGAATAAGCAAAAAATGCGAGGATAACATTGGGGATTCACAGTTTGGGTTTCGGAATTCTCTTGGGACAAGAGAAGCACATGAACAAAGACGTGTACATATGCTTTATAGACTACGCAAAAGCATTCGATAACGTAAAGCACGAAAAGATAATTGAAGTTCTCCATAAGATCGGAGTCGACTACAGAGACATTCGAACAATAGCGAGTCTCTATTGGGGTTAAACAGCTAAAGTGAAAGTAGGATCTACATTGACCAATAAAATTGAGATCAAGAAAGGGGTACGACAGAGCTGTATCTTGTTTCCTATTCTCTTTAATATATAGTCAGAAGAAGTATTTAAGACAGCGCTGGAGGAAAGCACAGAAGGCATAAAGATAAATGGAGAAATAATTAATAGCATAAGGTATGCTGATGACACTGTGATTCTAGCAAGTAGCATGGAGGAACTGAGTTGCCTAATGAGTAAGATACAAAAAACAAGTGCACAATACGGACTCAGACTAAATATCACAAAAATCAAATGGATGTTAGTAAGCAAAACCCAACTACCACCACAGCAACTGATATTAGACAATGAAATAATTAAACACGTGGATTCGTACATCTACTTGGGAACAACAGTTAACTCAAATTGGGATCAAGCGAAGGAAATACGTATAAGAGTAGAAAAGGCAAGAGCATCGTTCACTAGCATGAAGCAAATTTTCACCTCCAAAAGCCTCACTGGTTTTATTCAAGTTACTCATTTTATTCAGGTTGAGTCAGCATGGGGCACTCGATGTTTTACAAATATCTAGATGTTTTCACAGGTACTGGGGAACAAACCTGTACCTTTTGCGAGACAGGCAAATGTTCTACCGTTTGAAAGAAACATAACACTAACATTAAAAAATGATAAATTAAGAAAACAAAAAAATTAATGTAATGAAAATATTTTTATATGATTTTAAACTCTTGTCATATATCTACCAATGAAATATTCCTTAATATGTGTACCTAATACATTTTTTCATATGTCTGTTTAGTTGGGAATGTTCTTTTGAAAATTATTAGAACAGCATAGCAAACAAAAGAAATGAAAGCAAAACTGTTTTTTGAAGAATCGTTAAGTTAAATTTAAACCAAGAAGTGTAAGTGTTAGTTTTACTAGATGTTAAAATGTAAATGCTAGCAAGCGATATAACTAGTTTGGACAAACTAACATCTAAAGGTGTTTGCTCGATTCCGAATCCCCAAATTCAAAGTGGCGCCGATATGTAATAACAGCAATTATTGCACTATGACTAACTTTGTTATTTTTATGTAAGAAATGTCCATTTAGATTTCTATATAATCTAATGTATATTTCCTAAACTAATAATATTATCACATAGAATACAAACATTTGGGTGATATTTGAATTAAGCGGATCTTTAAAGAGCTGTAATACGTTAGGAGGGTTTACAAAATTGAAATACTCACAATATATGACTCAAATATAAAAAATATGTTCCGATTCAAAAGTATGTTCCGCTTTATGTAAATTTTAAATAAACATGAATATTCTGCTTATTGGAAACAGCGCTTATTTTTCACTGGCCCATGTGATCTGCTTCAAAACCACAAGCGAGATAAAAAATCAGGATCTACAAAACTATTATTAGACCAATAGAAAAGCTGGAAGTCTTTCAAAGAAAAGTCCCAAGGAAGATATTTAGATATATGAATGAAAACGGAGTATGGAGATCCAGGTACAACCATGAACTCTACCAACTGCTCAGAGAGGTACTAATCTCAAAATTCGTTAAACTTTAGAGACTGAAATGGACTGGTCATTGTAGTGAGAATTGAGGCCAAAAGATTGCCGAAAAGATTGCTGTAGTGCCATTGGCGAGAGATGAATATGATATTATCGTAAAATAAAACCGATGCTGTATTTATAATGAGGCAAATGCAAGAGAAGTGTCATATGAAGCCAAAAGACCACGAGGAAGACCGCAAATGGGCTGGAGCGACGATATTAAAAGAACTGCAGGACCAATGTGGAAACGTTTTACAAACAACAAGTATAAATAACGAGAATTAGGAGAGGCCTATATTCGGCATTCTGAATAGAGAGAAGGGCTTAAAAAAAGTGCAAAAGAAATTATTAGAATACAAAATTAGAATTAGAATACAAAAATCGACATATCTATATTTCGTAGATCTTAAGAAGGCATTTGACAGGGTCAAATTAAAGGACGTTATCCACTGCATACGTACGCAAGAGAGATATCTCTAACAATAATCAAAACGATCGAAAATATCTACCAAAACAGTACAATTGTCAATCAAATGTGATCAAATAATAAAAAAAGTCAAATCAAATTTAAAATCATCTGTTATGTAGACGAGGCAATATGATTCTCCCAGTAAAGACGATTTCCAACATATGTTGCACCAATTTAATATAACCAACCGCCAGAGAATTTAACATGATAATTTACCCAAAAAAATAAAAAAATGCATGGTTACACAGCAAATATACTAAGATGTAAATTGGAGTTGGAAGGTCAGATAATAGAAGGTCAGATAAGTGATGGAGTGTAAATATCTAAGCATCACACTATCTAGCTACGAAAAGCTCAAAACAGAAGTGAAAGATCAAGTGATTAGATCAAACAGAGTAGCAGGTTACCTGAAGAATACAATATGGAGAAATAAAAATATAAAAAAGAAAATAAAACCAGAATTTACAAAACAGTCATCAGATCAATAATGCCATACCCCGCAGAAACAGGACCTGACACAGAGAGGACAAAAAATGTCTCTAAAATTTGGACAGAGAGGACAAAAAATGTTAGAAATAGCAGAGATGAAAACTCTTAGAAAAATTCTTGGCAAGACACTATGAAACAGAGATAGAAGTGCATATTACGATGTTGGTGCAAGGTGGAGAACATTATGGACTTGGTAAGAAATAGAAGAGTAGAATGCTGAATGACAACAAATAGAGTAGTAAAGACGATGAAAGGCGGCTCCCAATGAAAAGACGATGAGTAGGAAGACAACGAAAACAATAAAACGACAACTTACTGGAGACACATCGAAAAGCAGACAGAGTCATGTCTACATAAAACGAAGAAGAGAAGAAGAGAGAAAAGAGTCAAATAAAAATAATAAATATATTTTCGTTACATTTTCAGAATTTCCAAGAGTACCAGTACTATGATCCAAAGTATAACAAACATCTAGAAGTTATGCATACTAGGAATATTAAAAAGATGTAATACTTAGAGCATGTGATGAGCAATACAAGTACCAATTATTAATTCAGCTATTTTGCAAGGCAAGATAGAAAATAAAAAACTCAGGGGAATAAGAAGGAGAAAACGAGGAATAGAACAATTTGTTTTCACTCCGATAGCCATGCAGCTCCAAAGGCTTTATATACACTTCGGACAAGCTTGGAGATGTACGACTGTCAAATAGCTCTGAACATTTTGTTAAGTACCACGACGATTTGGTACACAAAACAAAAATAAAAAGAAAAGCTGGAATATTAGATGACTTCATCCCAGTTTAAGATAAGGTCATAGGTTGAAATAATTCAAACTGTTTATTGAATTTGAACCTAAAATAGGCAAGAACCTCATTTGAACCTTTTTTGAACAAATTGAAGACAATA